CAGAGTAACGCTACAGCTGAGGCGACTTCAGCGTAAGCGTTTGAGGATTTACCACAGAATGCAAGGAGCGATCGTGCTGAGAAGATTAACTACCTCTAGATAGTAGAACAAACGAAAAGTTTTGGAATTAAAAACCACAAAAAAAAATAAAAAATAGTGGAAAGCGTGAAAAAGTGACCTTAAAAGAGTGATTTGTGACGTGAGTGTGAAAACAGAGACACAACAGGTGAGCACAGGCAAATAAAAAGAAATCGTAGTTGAAAAATTTTGAAAGCTCCCAAATTGGTCTTATTAAATTGTAAGAATTAGTTATACAGCTTGAAAGCTCAAACTTGGTGCTTTCAAAGTGTGATTTATAAAGTGATATAGAACTGGACCAGAGCGAAATTTTGTGCCCGTCCCTGTGAATATTATATTTTAAAAGCTTTCAAAGCTTCTCCCGCAAAATAAGTGTTTGTTGAGACTACCCTAAACCTTGTTTACAAAGTGACTGAAAAACAAACTAATCTATTGAACAGTTGGTAGCTCGAATCAAAGCGTGTGTGTATTTTCAAAACTGTTTGAAACGGTGAATATAGAAATAAAAATTTAACACCCTCGAGTTGCAGAAAAAGTTGTAAACTCTAAACGTGAGTCTGATCTACTTACATTCATATACGCAGCAGTATTGAAAAAATCAATAATGAAAATGTGCACCCGAATACCAGTACCTGTGCTTTGCGAGGGAATACAAAGTTCCAGACTTCGCCGAATGCAAATGAATTGAAAGGTAAAGCCTCCATGTACATACTTTATTGTACCTTCAGGCCAAACGCGTAAGTAGACCAATGCCCAACACAAGGAACCTTCGTTAGACCGAAGCCTTTCACCAGACCAAAGAAATCGGATAATTTTGAAAGTATTTGCATTACAGTGGCATAGGTATCTTCAGAACTTTTCATTCAATACTTTTTGGAAAATTTACTTAAACTCTTCTCAAACTTATTGGTCGCGCTAACTGCCGTCCCTAAATGGGAGTGCTCGGCGTTGCGTTATCCATTGTCAACGAGTGTCAGCGCGCGCTATCCCCAAATCAACGCGTCGTAATTTTTGACGTGTTCTCAGGTCCTCTCGTTTTTATTCTTGTTTCCTCTTCCACTTTTTGTCCCTTCTCTTTCTTTCCGTCTTCTGCATCCAACTTCAACACGTAACGCCCTGTCAAAAATGAAAATTCCATTTGCTCGGGGTTAGCGCCGCGTTATTGTGGGATGCTTCATACAAATTGTATGGGCATGAGGATTTTTGAAAGTTGCTTGACGCTTGACGCGCCAATTTAGGGATGGCAGTAATGCGACTGACCAGCTTTTCACAACGCCGAATAGCCAGATAAAAACACGAAGGCATTTTTCAAAAAAAAAAAAAAAAACATTTGACTCATGAACCTATCGATCTAAATAAAACCGAGAGGTTCAGTTAGACGAAAGTCGCTTACCACCTCAGATAGTCTGTTAGTTTTGAAATTTCTTAAGGTACAGGCACATATCGTCGCTTGAAGTACAAAACCGCGTATCAACAATATGCAAACCGCGTATATGAGGTTGCATAAACTATTTTCTAGAGAGTAAAAACAATCATATTTCAAAATGACTCTCTTTTTTATAAAGCAATCGCATTTCTGGCTAGTATATTTCAGGACGAATGGATAAGGATTGAGCGAACAGCTTGTGTGAGCAAATCCAGTTTTTGGCAGCGAATGTCAGTTAAACTATGTTCACATATCAATATTACCTCAATCAAAGCTCGTTTTTTAATCGCACCGTTNACCAGTTTTTGGCAGCGAATGTCAGTTACGCGGTCTTGCAGAATGATGATACGCGGTTTTGTACTTTAAACGACGNTCCAGTTTTTGGCAGCGAATGTCAGTTAAACTATGTTCACATATCAATATTACCTCAATCAAAGCTCGTTTTTTAATCGCACCGTTCACACAGGCAAATCTCAGATTATTAGCCGTCAAATTTGTTGTGCTTGTTATTCTCACATCTCAAGGAAAAGTTATTTTTTTTCTCTGTGCCACCGTGATCACGTTTTTCTGCTATATTAAGCAATATAGATATATTTTAACTTAACATTTTATTAAAAAAAATACCTTTAGAACCCTCTTTTCCTTGCCAGCGTCCATTTTTGTTTACTTTTACATTTGCCATTTCTCCTCTTCTTCGCAAAAACAATCGATAAAACTAGGATGGACACCGAAAAGTTATCGGTTAAATCTGAGATTATTTTATAATTACAGATTAACAAGGGAGGAATTTTATATGGCTAATCTCTTTTTCTAATTACAGATTAGGAAGTTAAGCTCGAAAATGAAGATAATCTACTTATATGTGAACCTAGTATAATNATGATACGCGGTTTTGTACTTTAAACGACGATATATGTATGTATTTAGAATAAATATTCAACTAAAACTCATTGGCGCATATTCATAGTCATATTTAGTACTCAACTAAGTCTAAACTATTCTAAGTCACAATTAAAGCTATTCATAGTCGCCTTAGTTTCGACTTTTCTGGCTAAGTACCAATTTAAAATTTAGTTTCGGCTGCAGCTGCAACTAAGTCGTAACTAGGAAGAAGTATTTTATCAAATTAAGGAAAAACAGACGAAATATGTAAAAATTAACTTGGTAGAGGGTGATTTTGATAATATTGAATAATCTCCAATTAAAATTTACAAAGATCGATCAATTTTATTCGGAAGATGAAATTAAATGCGTATTACAATTCGAATAAAGCTAAATCACAAATTTATAATTGGAATAATTTAGATAAATTCTCAAATAATAAGTCAGTTTCACGCTAGTTCTTTTAAATTAAATTTGTGCATATTGTTCTGGCTATTTCACACAATTAACAAGAAAATTATACCTTATTCTTTTGCATAATCATGCAATGAAAATAAAAATTACANTTCTTAAAGCTATTCAGAACTGTTTATGCTTCTCACGCTCCAATACTTCGAGCTTTGATCTCAAATTCTCCAGACATTGATCCATTACAGTACTGGTGAAGATAACTGAGGAGAACGCGTTTAGAACAAACTGGTGATCTGACAGCTTAAAATTTCCCAAAAAGTTCTGGGGAATGTTGATAAAGTGCCAACCCTGCCCAAAAATAAATCGGCACCTTTCCAGTAAGGCAAATCCTACTGTCACAGGAGTAGCTTCTAGCTACTGACGCGAGTTTGTATAGAGACTAGAAATATTTAAGAGTCGGTAATGAAATTGGGCAAGACTTGAGTTTGTTTTTTGATGAAACCAAGGAAAATTATACGGAAAACGTTTTGAAGTGCTGGGGACACTAATAACGAGTATTATAAGGAAGTCGTAGACATTATTTCGAAGGGAACTCTATATACATATATAGACAGGCTTGCTTGGCAGTGAGCTTGTTATGTGATGGCGGAAGAAATCCAGTAAAACCAATGGGATGAACTCTTGGCCGATGAGACCATAGATCACGTTCGGGATGANTGGAAGAAATCCAGTAAAACCGCAATGGGATGAACTCTTGGCCGATGAGACCATAGATCACGTTCGGGATGAACAGCAATTTTAGTATGGAAGGGAAATGACGAAAGCAACAACTAATGTAGTAATGTTTTGTGTGTAGAAAATATATGTGAGCTGAAATTATCTTCTCGATTTCAGAGAACTTCTTGTGAAAATCTGTGTCCGCAGTCTTTATAGAACATAGACAATAAAACGGTAGGACGATGACGTTTTTTTTTACACTTCAAGCATACTCTGGCAGGACGAAACTAACAAAAGATGCGAAAGAAAGTTTTAGAACCAAACTAGAAATTGATTCGGAATAACGGAGAATAAGTACGAGGAGATGGTAGACAATATTCAAAGGAAAAAAGTAGTGACTAGGACAAGAACTGTGGAGTAAGGGAGATAGAGCAGGGAGCAAGACAAATTTTGTAAGGATGAAGCGTAAAATGCATCGAAAATGTCGAAAAGAGTTCCAAAGGAGCATATCCGCCGGTGAAAAGGGCCTTCTCAATATGTAAATGAGTGTTTCGGGGTTGCTCTCATGCGCCGAAGGGTCAGTGTCAGTCTTTGTTGTTTAAGTGATGAAAATGTTATCAGAGTAAATTAAAGTAAGAACTCTAGGGAACGGGGAGACAGGGAAGCTAACAGAGGCTGAAGTTAAGTACGAAGGAGGAAGGATTAAACCATAAACAGACGGCAGCGTTGATCCGGATCAACTCGGGAATTAACTGCAGTTGATCCGTATTAAGTCCGAGTTAATGTGGATCAACGCCGCCGTCTGTGTAAGCTTTAAGTAATTTAAAAAGAGACGGGAAAATTAAAATCAGCGCTTTTTGTATGGCAAATAAATTTTTACACGATTTTTAACGACTAATAAATTGGGCCGAGAAAGTGAAAGACTTTTTGAAAAGTTTTCTTAATTTTTGTCTTAAAGCAAATAGGAAAAGAAAGGAGCTTTATGCGACTTACACAAGCACTCAAGTCTGTAAACGACAAGTAATCAAGCCCAAAAGTTTTTTGCAGTTCCCCAACGCCGGTAAGGCGCCAAAAAAATTACACACAACTCTGTAATCACCGTTGTTTTTGCTGTCCAACATTCAAATTCCAAAATGTTAACCATAAATTACAAAGGTGAAGCTTTGGTTGTTGTTTTTGTTGTAATGCTTGTCATTGTAAATAATTTCAGTGTGCGCTTATGCTGTCAATAAGCACCTTTTGCGCACATTCATACATACATATGTATATAAATACATACGTAAATATGTGCAGATAAAAACTTGTAATGCGCGGCTGCGGCTGCGCAGCTATTTACTTGCTTTTAAATGTCTTAAAAGTTTTGGTATCTACGCAGATTTGTACATATTTTTTGTTCACTTATTTTTATGCGAAAAAGCACTTAGTCATCATTGAAATTCTTTTAACAGTGCAAATTTTTTAAAATTTTCCCCTTTTGTTTTTACAGTTCTTCGAAAGCAGCAACAGCAGCGATATTTTACAGCCCAGCGACCCAGCAACACGCGAGCCCAACAAAAAAAAATACGAACGATTGTAAAATTCGACTCACAAATTTTGAGTCAGCGAACCACTTCGATTTACCAGCCAAAGAAAACGCGACGCCTCTTCTTTGGACGTGAACCAGTAAGAGCACAACGCCGGTATTGTAGACACGCACGCACGCAATGTGCTAAAGACGCAACCAGTTGAAACCCGCTGAAAGACAGTCGAAGATTTTGTGAGAAATATACTCGAATCCACTCAAGTAATCATATATTTTATAGCCATAATTAACGGAACAGAAATAACAACAAAAACGTCCAACTTATGTAGTTGATGGCCGCAATTAAAACGGAGATGCCGCCTTTGCATGCGGCAGATGCCGGTGGCGGAGGCGGCGGTGGCACAGGCGGCAACAGTGGCGGTGGTGGTAGCGAGTGTGGTGGCAATGCTGACACAATTGTCTCCAATAGTCCGCATTCGAATAGCAGTGGCGTCGGCGATGCTGGCCTACCGGGTACGAATAGCGGCAATAATACGATTAGCGCAGCCGCAGACTCGAGCGATAATCAACCTGGCACACCGCAACCCCCAATCAATGGACAATTAATTGGCAACAACGAACAACAACAGCAGCAGCTAGCGCACAATCCTTACGGCATGTATACCTCGGTCGCTACGACCACGCATGCCAACGCTTCACTGGCGCATATGTATGGCGGCGGTGGCGGCATTTACGCGACTGCCGGCGCTCAATCAGATATGCAACAGCAGCAAGGTGTCGGTGCTTATCCGAGCTACATAAATAGCTTTGAGCAGTTCTACCAGCAGCAGCAACAGCAAGTGGGCTCGGCCACCACGGACTATGGGCTTATGTATGCCACTGGCCCTGGCGGAAACAGCACCAGCAGCGACTATAAGGCAGGCAGCAACTCGAGCAGCGCGAGTGGCGTGCGCTATCATCCCTACCTCAACACACCTACCTCATGTGGCCCTAATGACGCACACGGCAATGGTGGCAATCGAAATGGTACACCAGATATTGCTTCGAGTGGTGGCGGTGGTGGTACATTGCCATTACCGCAAAGCAGCGCTGCCGTTTCGACCACTACGAATTCGCTAAGCCCGCGCGTTGTCAGTTCCAGCAGTCCAACATCTACCTCGGCCCACCTACAGCTCAGCGGCAGCTCCGCAGCTGGCTCTCCTGCCGGCGGTTGTAAGCTGCAGTGCAAGAAGTGCGGCCTCATGTGCACCAGCGACAATGAACTGCAAGAGCACATCACCAACGTGCATGGCGCCTCGCCCTATGGCAGCAGCGGCTACTCGAGTTCACCGTATATAAAGGAGGAGCTGTCTTCGGGCTCGCAGCAGCAATCCACTGGCCAGCAGGGTCAGGGCGGCAACCCGGGCGAGTTACTCGACTTGGACTCACAAAAAATGGTTTACCCGCCCGCCCCCGGGAGCATACCAGCGATGCTGCATCACCCGCAGCAAATGCACGACGTAGTTGGCGCTAGCGATCCGCTGCACTCCATGCACAGCATGCAGCAACGCGCATTACCTGGTTGGGAGCAGCCTCAACCACCCAACGGTGGCATGCAGGAAGGTCTACCGCCGTATATGCAGCAGCAGCCACCCACGCAACCCAGTCAGCCGCAAACGGATTTGAGCGGCAAGCCGCCTCATGCCAATCAATCGCCCTATTATTCGCCCAAGCAATCGCCATATCATGTCACCGGCGGCGGTCCGAATGGTATGAACATCAAGCAGGAATACGGTTTGATTAAGTCAGAATATCCGGACTCGCAGAATTATGTGGACAAATCTTTTGACCCAACTGTGGCCGGTGATATGTGCCAACAACCCCCGCCTTCCGTTCAGCAGCAGCAAATGATGCCAGTTTCTTCCAGCCCTGCCGAATTTCCTTCGACCACGACTGGGTCACAAGACGCGCAGCAGCAATATCGCGGCTTCGAGCCACCCTCTTCGTCGTCAGTAAATTCTGCCAGCGCTCCCACAAAGGCCGCCACTTGGAAGTCGAACGAGGCACGTCGTCCGAAGACCTATAACTGCACTGCTTGCAACAAGTGGTTCACAAGTTCGGGACACCTGAAGCGCCACTACAATACAACTTTGCATAAGAATGCTGTGAAATCTAGCGGCCAGCCGGATCCAGCAACGCTACCCATTTCGGCGCATCATCATCCCGCACGTGAACCCACTACAACGACCAAGTCACACAGTCGTCGTAATAATGCCAACGCCGCAGCAGCCGCGGCTGCAGCTGCCGCTCAACAACAGCAACCGCCTGCGCCGGTGCAGCCACCCGAACCGCCTAGAAGTCCGCCGGACTTTGGGCAGGGTGCGGGTATGGGTCAGTTGTCACAATACTCCGCTTCACCCTCGCCGACACAGCAAGCGCAGTTGAACGGTATGCCATATAGCGCAAACCCGAGCGGCTATCAGCCACAACAGCAACAATATTTGAACCAGGTGCAGTCGTCTACGAATAGCCACTCACCGCAAAATGTAACCGGTCACATGAACGTCGCCGGCTCCTCACCAAACAACACACAAACCGTCTTAAACGGTCACCCAAACGGGTTAGCAGGTCCCTCCGCCCAAACAACACCTCAACCAATGCCGTCCTCCCAAACGAGGGGCCTGCTGAACACAACAACAACAACCATTATCACAAAGAGCGAACCCATGGAGGACAACAACTATCATCACAACAGCAGCAACAACAACATGTCTCTCACGCACTCAGCTCAGCTGGAGGCGCCGGAATCGGACACGGATCAGGACACAATGTCGGAGGAGCGGGAGCGCTCTCAAACGGACATGGAAATACTGCAACAACAGCAGCATCAGCAGCTGGAAGAGGAAGCAGCGGCGGCAGCAGCAGTGGCAGCGGAGCAGGCGCAGGAAGCGGAGGCGCAATTACAACGCCACCGTCAGGCGCAAGCGGACTTGGAACGGGAGGAGCACTTGGGGGTCTTTCATCATCATCAACTGTTGGAGGAATTGGCGGAGCAGCAGCGGCACTTTCACAACAGCACGCCCACGCTCAACCCGGAGTCGGGGCGAGTGCCATCGCCCCATATTACCTCCCATCAGCAATACCAGGAGCAACTGCGGCGTCCGCAGGCAATGGTGGACAGCATTTTCTCAGCCATGCAGCCGCCAGCGGGAGTCCATATGCCAGCCAATATAATGGATCAGCAATACAACATCATACCTTTGGGTATCAACACGCCGCCGCTGCTCAGCAGCAGTATGCAGCTGCTGCAGCCGCCGCAGCCCATCACCACCAGCACAGCTACTACAGTCAATATGGGCAACATCCATATGCTGCACAACCACCACACCCACCACCACACTCAGCACACGCAGCAAGCAGCGCAGGCGCAGCAGGAGCAGCTGGTGCTACCGTCCATGCGCAATACGCTGCTCAACAATACCAGCATCCAGTCGCAGCTGGACACCATCAATACCACCACCACGCCGCAGCTGCTGCCGCCCATCACCACCACCACACAGCAGCTGCTGCCGCCGCCGCAGCTGCAGCAGCCGCTGCACACCACCAACACCATTCCATCCTTCCAGCAGCTGCAGCAGGGGTCGGAGCTGGCGCCGCTGGAGCCCACAATGACCTATCACACTATTATTGGTAATGGCACCATGAATGGTGAGGGATTCAATGCGAACAGCAGCGGCAGCAGTGATGTAAGCAGCGAGTTCTTGCAATTGGCCTCTTTGGATCCCTATGGTGGACTGCAGACGCAACAAATGATTACTTCCGATGGCCAGATAGTCCAGTTCATGTCCTCGGCGCTTATGGGGCAGACATTCTACGCACTACCGCCGCGCACAACCATCCGTGAGGCTTATCCCCGCTCACCGCAAGAGGGAGACTTGCCACCAGCGCATACCATTTTGCCCAACGGCTTATCGGAACAGGACAAACTGCATAGCCATCAAGAGTCTACGCAGACAATGATAGAGACGCTGCCTTCCGCGGTCGAGCCATACCCACACGAAGAAGAGGAGGTGAACATTAAATCATATGCACACGCAGAAGACGAAAAGCAGAATATCAAGCCAGACACAACCGTCATGCAAGAATTAGTAGACTCCACAACCGGCAAGCCAAACGATTGCAGCATTATTACCGTCTCCACTGCCAATACTAATGCCAATACAAACACCGTTTCCACCACCACCTCCACAACTGCGAGCACTGCGAAGCCGAAGAGAGCTGCACAACGCCAACCTCCCTCGAAACGCAGACGTTCGCCCTCCTCATGTACGACCACACCACGCTCAACCATGCTGCCATCCGGCCGCATCAAATGCCTGGAGTGCAATAAGGAATTCACCAAAAACTGTTACCTGACGCAGCACAACAAGAGCTTCCACTCTGGTGAGTACCCATACCGTTGCATTAAATGCGGCAAACGTTACCAGTATCCGGAGGTATACGAGGTGCATATCTCGCGACATAAGGCCTCGGAAAAGCCACACAAATGTGAACTTTGTCCCAAGCAATTCCATCACAAGACCGACTTGCGTCGCCATGTCGAAGCCATACATACGGGCATGAAACAGCATGTCTGCGATATTTGTGAAAAGAGTTTCTGTCGCAGAGACCACTTGCGCAAACACATTGAAACGCATAAACGTCCTAAAGTAATAGCCAAGCGGGTGCTTAAGGACATGACCGAACAGGGTATATTAGATATGGAGACATTAAAAGCTGTGCAGCCGATGACAAAGCCGTCAATGAAGATGGCCGACAAGTACGTTAGACTAGACAAAGACCAGAGCAAAGATTCGCACAAAAAGCAGCAACAAGCTGTAGAAGAGGGGGAAGAAAATGTTAGTCACAATATGAGAGAGCGTTTGACAAATATCAAACAAGAGTTGCTTGATATGCCACCGCCTATGTATGCGTCACAAACGCAAAATCTAACCATAACGGCAGTAACTATGCCACTTGACTGCAGCGACTATCAGCGCAGCGGGGACTTGGCGACCGACGACAGCTTCATAGAAGATGACGATAATGTGCCAGAGGGTTACTTGATACGTGTAATTAAGCAGGAGGAAAATGTACAGGGGATGCCTGAAAAACAGTTGTCAGCGTATTTTTGATAAAGTTATAGGACTTGGATACGGCTAAAAAGGTAGAAGAGGCCCATATAAAGGGTGCTAAGGGTTTTGAAAATGGGTAGGAGTTGGCGCAAAGAAGATTGTGGGAAATGGGTTGAAAACAATTGATTACGTATATGCACACACCGCAGTGAAATGGGTTTGAACTGACTAGTCTGTGCATTGTCTATGCTGAAGAATAATAATGATAAGTATAGGGCGTCTGAGGCTCTTTCGTATGAAGTTCCGACCGTTACCAACCTAAGAAAAGAAAAAAAAAGTCGCAGGGACTTAGAAGCACAACAAACTCCCGTAGTGCTCAGCAGAAAAAGTTCGGTATTGAGTTTCGGAGCAAACATCCGGCGGTTAGAAAGCTCACTGCCCATAGTGCGCATTCCTTTAAAAATTTTCCCCGTTTTTTTTTTATTAATAAATTTACTTTCACTGGTTCTGTAAATGGCCAACCTTGGATATGAAGTTTTCAAACAGGTTTTAGGCAGTTTCTGGCGCTGACTTTTAAGACAAACTTTGAGCCATTGGAAGACTTTTCGTCTGCAGTTAGAACAGGTTTTACCGCAACTTCATCCGCAAAAGGGCAATGGTTGCTCTTGAGGAGTCATATAGCTTAGATCAAGTCTGGGAGTATGTACAACCGTTTCATCCTGTAAACGGCAGCAACTCGAAAAGCTTTTGAAATAGGCCCTAAGTAGATTCAGTTATTTGAGACAATCCTTCAGCAGTTGAAGGAGTCATTACCTGTACTAGGAACTGCCACTGAGTGTACCAAGGTATTAGTTTCAAATACGACTGTGGCTTGGTCCGTCAATGGATAAGGTCAAATTTCTAGTTTTACTGTATATCTATGAGGAGCTTTTTTGAGAAGTAGGTCTATGACTAAGTACGTGTTTGAATGCACTGAGGATAGCTGGCCTAAGCGGAGGCAAATTGGTACTAGGTATTGAATTTTAGAACAAATTCTTAACGTTTTGAAGGCTTATTATCCGTACTTTGGACTCATATAAAACGTGAATACTTGCTCAGATTATAGTACTAGGAACTATCCATGAAGAAATTAAGTATTTGGGGAACTGATTTAAAGGTAGCCCATAACTCAGATTCAGTAGCTGATAGTTGAGCTAAACTGGGCAGCTTGGAAACTACAATTTTTGAATGAGGTCCCAGGCACTCAGGACAAATCTTTAGCGGTTAGAAGGCTTATTAACTGTAGTGTATATGACTGTAGATTGGCCGGTTAATGGGTACGAGGGAATGTTATGGTACTTCGAAAGGTCGGATAGCAGTAATTTGGAAGAATTTTCTTCAAGTAATCTCATGACTAAGTGCGAACAGGTATCAGTTGAGCTAATTGGAGTTAACTTGTATTTTTAAATCAAACTTTTAACAGTTAGAAGGCTCACTATCTGTCGGTTTGACTGCCGCGTGAAGTGCCTATATCATGGCTAAAGGGAATACTGTCTTCTAGACCGTATATAGCTCGACGTGAAAGTGATATTTCAGGCCGTGAGAGCTTTGTTAAGCTTTTTTTTTAAATGTAGGCTGTGATTAAAGGAGAATTTTTTTTTACACAATTCTGTTGGAGGAAAGCCTGCAATTGGAAATTGTAAGCACTGCAGGGCTCTTTGACAAAAAAGGCGACAGAGATAGGGTCCCTCGCACGAACGCGACGAAAGACAGTTTACAAAACTTGGCAAGTTTTTGTCTATTACAACTATTTTCGCTGAAAAGCTATTGGAAGGAAGACTGGTTCGAAACGAAATTAATAGCATAATGGAGTTCAAGTTCAAGCGATTCATTTTTCTGAAGAAAATGCGCTATAGTTTTTGGATCTAACGCCATTTTTCGCGTCGTCATACTGACCCTCTTTTGGCCGTTTTCATCCGACGTTACGCGGTACTACTACGGACAAGCACATTCCTTTCATATCTACGCCCTGCTTCGGATTGCCTTAATCGCCCGCGCTAATTGCGGCTTTCACACAGCCGTCGTCAGCCAAATTTAACCAAAACCACCTCAAAATGTATTGCCATATTTACATAAGAATATATCTATGAATTTTTGAATTTAGTTTATTTTTTTCAACGCAAATACCTCAGTAAACAAAGATAGGCAGCACATTAATGAAAAAAGTATTTTTGAAATATATTTTTAAGATTTAAAGAAAATGCACATTTTTTTCTGCTCACAATATCTTCTAGTTTTATTTACTTCTAATTCACATCAATACACACACCCACACATACGCACACAACATGCCACTGTGCGCAGTGCTCTTTATTTAACATTTTCATTTAATTATTTTTATAAAATAATTTTAATCATTTTATACGACAATATTGCCATTGAATTTTATTTTTTTGTATAAAATTTGCTTAATGTAAAAATGCCTAAATATTAAGCATACAATTTTTTGTAGTAAGTGCCAATGCCAAACTTATGTAAACCACAAGCAACAATAAATCAGGAATATTTTTCTTTTAATAATAATTAGTTTTTTATTATTTAAAATTAAGCACTTGATTTTAATTGTATACGCAAACAAGTAAGAAATAAAAACGATTTATTCGTTTTAGTATTATTTAGTATTATTATTTTTTATAAAAAAAAATGTAGCCCAGCAATCACTCTCACTTTGTATTGAATTTAGTTGTACACATTTTTAGTTTTAAAATTAAATTTTAATTAAAAATGTTTATATTTTATTTTGCTATGCTGGCAACAAATTTTGTAAAAATGCCTACACTGTACTTAATCACAATAAATAAATTAGAAAAAAATCAACAATCAACGTAAATTGTATTTAATAATTCTAGGAATGCAAAAGTACTATTTGCGTTTGGTCACGTAACTCAGCTTTTTTATGTAGCAGACTATGGATATTTTTGTGTACATATGTATGTATGTACAAAAATTGCAAAACAATTATATTCTGAAATTTTTAATTCGGATTTTGGTTTTTTACTTTTTAAATTTTGTTTAGGTATTATAAAAGTTAAATCTTCCCAAACCGAAACATTTTTTCAAAAATTTCTTTATTTCTTAAATTTTTCAAGTCTCAAAGACGTAAACAATTTTAAAATTTTAGTTTTTAATATTTTTGTATCAAGGTTTGTTTGGTATTTTCTGTTTTAAATACCTTTTTCGTTTATATGAAATTTCACTTTTAATTATTTTAAGAATTTTTTAACATTCTTACTTCTATGTTTTACAGTTTTTAATTTTTTCCGAAGAAGTTAGGTTTTTTAAATTCAAATGTTTTTTTCCGAAATTTCCTGGTATCCAAACACAGCTTAATTCTTAAACATAAAATTTATCAAAGCAAAACTTAAATTTTCCTAAATTTTTTTACCATCCAAACACTTGGTTCATAAAAAAAATAAAATGATTAAAATAAACTTTTTAAAGTTTTTATTTCTTATGAATTTTGATCGTCATTTGTGTGCATTTGTTTATCAAAATGTCATGGCTTTTGAAAGTTTCTTTCCAAGCATTCAAATTTATTAGTATTTATACACTTTCTTTAAATTTTCAAAACTTAAAAATTTTCAAAGGAAATAAACGTTATTAGTCAATTAATTTTTTTCACAATTTAAACACATGAAAACATTAATGCTCGGATTCGCCAATTAGTTTTAAAATTTATTAAACTTCTGAAATTTAAAACAACAAATTTTCCGAACGAAATTATGTCATTTTAAATTTTAACAGGCTAATAAATTTAAAATTGATTCGTGCAACCGGGCATAAAACTTTCAAATTTTATACATTCAAAAACTAAGAAAGTTAAAAATCTCAGAAGCTTTAAGTCTTTAAAAATATTACAACTTTTAAAATTGTGAGTTTTAAAAAAATTTCAATGGTTTAAATCTGTTTTCCCTCTAACTTTTTTTAGCTATTCATTTTCGCATTTATTTATTTTTTATTTTTTTTTGGTTTTTCAATCATTACTATTATTTTTTTCAAAGACTTTTTTCACTTTTTAGCAACTCATTTTGTGACTACAATTGTTTTTTTTTATCTTCAAATTTAAACTAAGCAAGTTTCGAATACATTCTGCCATCAAAAATATCCATGTTCTGCTACATAAGCGAGGTTTTCTCGGTTAACCATCTTCGCCTTTATTACAAGTGTATGTATTTTAGATTGGCCCGATTTTTGTTTTGGCACGCCATTATTTTCTTATTGTACAAAATATATGAAATAAGCAATTTAGATTAAAAAATTTTTGTTTATAATTTTGATAATACTCGTACA